GTGCCTAAAAAGATTTTATGGAAAGCTCTAGAGAAGAAAGGGGTTAGGGTTGCATATATTCGAGCTATCCAAGATATGTATGAAAGGGTATCGATTAGTGTTAGGACATAGGGTGAAGAAACAGACAATTTTCCCATCACAATTGGTTTGCATCAAGGGTCAACCCTAAGCCCCTATCTTTCTACCTTAATTCTGGATGTCCTCACAAAAAAAATCCGAGAGATAGCGCCGAGATGCATGCTTTTCGTAGGAGATTAGTCCTCCTTGGAGAGTCTACGAAGGAGTTAAATGGGAGGTTTGAGACTTGGAGAAAAGCGTTAGAAACACATGGTTTTCGCCTAAATAGAAGTAAGTCAGAGTATATGAAATGTAAGTTCAATAAAAAAAGCAGGGTTTCTAACTTAGAAGTGAAAGTATGAGACCATATATCCCTTATGTCACATGGTTTAAATATCTTAAGTTCGTAATATAGAATGATGGAGAAATAGAAGGGGATGTAAATCATCGTATTCAAGTTGGATGGATAAAATGAAGAAAAGCATCATGTGTTTTATGTGATGCAAAGTTACCGCTCAAGCTAAAGGGAAAGTTTTCTCTGACTGTAGTAAAATTTGCGATTTTGTATGAGACAAAATGTTGGACGGTTAAGAACCAACACGAGAATAAAGTAGGTGTAGTGGAGATGAGGATGTTGCGTAGGATGTGTGGTAAGACTCGACAGGATAAAATTAGATATGAAATTATTAGAGAGAATGTTGGAGTAGCGCCTATTGTAGAGAAGATGGTGGAAAATAGACTTAGGTGGTTTAGGCATGCAGAGAGAAGACATGTAGACTCTATAGTAAGGAGAGTAAACGAGATGGAGAGAAGACAAACAATTCGAGGAAGAGGAAGACCCAAAATACTATAAGAGAAGTTATTAAGAAGGATCTCGAAATTAATGATTTGGATAGAAGCATGGTCCTTAATGGAACATTATAGCGAAAGTTGATCCATGTAGCCGATTTCATCTAATGGGATAAGGCGTAGTTATTGTTGTATTATTATTATTATTATTATTATTATTATTATTATTATTATTATTATTATTATTATTATTATTATTATTATTATTATTAGGATAAATTTCACTTTTGATCCCCGTACCTCACTCAAGATACGATTTTCCTATTTTAAATTCAATTTTTTAGAACTCTCTATTGCGTTATTTCATAGAAAATCCATGAAACGTTCATGTTTAACTCATATTTTTATATTTATAGGTTCCACAATAAATTTATATACGATATTTAAAAAGTAGGAAATTAATTTTGTAAATCAAGTAAATATGAGGATGAAAATTGTATTTAATTCTTACTATTATTCTTTTATTTTAAAATGGTAAGTATTGTTAAATTGTAATTCATAGGTGTCAAAAGAAGATTTGATTTGTTTAGATTTAAATAGATTTGAATTTAAATCTAGATTAGATTTGATTTAGTAAAGAGATATTTTGGGCTTCGGTTTAGCTTAGGGAGCAAGCTAACCTAAATCTATAAATAGAGGGAGTAACCCTTATTTTGTAATCAATTCATTCACAGTATTTTGCAGTTGCAAAGTAAATTAATAAAGATTCCACAGTTTGTGGGCAGAATAGAAATTCTGCAGAAATATCTTCATTGTTCTTTTATTTGTTTGTCATAACTAATCATCAGTGGTGGTCGAAATTCATCATAAAGAATTGGTGGATTTCCAACATCTGGTATCAAGAGCTTGTGTTACGATTCAAGGGAAGTGTCAATCAAGAACGATTGAAGAATTCACGATGACAAGTTATGGGAATGCAAACTATCCAGCAACGCTGCCAATTCTGAAAGTAGACAACTATGAGAATTGGTGCAAGCAGATGAAAGTCCTATTAAGGTGTCAAGGCCTTTGGGACCTTGTAAAAGATGGAGTCGAAGCGCTTGGCGAAAACGCTTCAGAAGAAGAAAAGAAGAAATATACTGAATCTGAGAAACAGAGTTATAAAGCATTGTTTATAATTCATCAATGTGTCAGCCCAGACAATTTCGAGAAGATTGGTGATTCAGAATCTGCAAAAGAAGCTTGGGAGATCCTTGAGAAGTCTTTTGGAGGCGCTGAGAAGGTGAAAGAAGTGAGGTTACAAACTCACAAAAGGACCTATGAACTGCTTCAGATGGAAGACAGTGAAAACATAGCTGACTTCTTCACTAGAGTTACAAAACTAGTGAATCAAATCAAGACATGTGGAGAAACATTAACAACAAGAGCTGTTGTTTCGAAGATCTTGAGATCCTTAGCTCCTAAGTTCGACCACATAGTGGTGGCGATCGAAGAGGGGAAAGACTTGTCAAAATTGAAAAAGGAAGAGCTTCAAGGGACGCTCGAATCTCATGAACAAAGAATGAATGAAAGAGCTGCAGGAAAATCGAAGAGTGATGTGGCCTTGCAGGCACATTCAGCAAAAGAGACCAAAGGCAAAGGAAAGTATTTCGACAGAAGTAGAGGTGGCTACAACAAATCGAATGGTAGAGGAAACCAAATCGAAGGAGACATGTCGAATCAAAGAAGACCAAACCAAGGCAACCAAAGAGGTGGTGCTGCAAACAGAGCAAGAGGTGGTGGTCGAAAACCTGATAAGAGTCACATTCAATGTTATAATTGTCAGAAGTATGGTCACTATTCAAGTGATTGTCCAGAAAAACGAAAGAATCAAGAAAGTGATGCAAAGCTTGCAAAACATGAAGAAGAAGAAGAAGAGATGATGCTAATGGTCACAATAAGAGATGAAGATAGATTCAAGGACCAATGGTACTTGGATTCGGGATGCTCATCACATATGTCTGGAAGGAAAGACTGGTTCGTCAATATAAAACCCTCAACGAAGAATATGGTAAAATTTGCAAACGACAACACCCTAGCAGCAGAAGGTATTGGTGATGTTATGATCATGAGGAAATATGGCAAGAAGTCAGTAATTTCGAATGTATTGTACATACCAGGCATGAAGAGCAATTTGCTCAGTATAGGGCAGTTGGTCGAAAAGAATTATAAAGTATCAATCGAAGACAAGTTGATGAGAGTCGTTGATGCAAATGGGAAAGTAATCTTGAAGGCTCCTATGTCTCAGAATCGAACCTTCAAGATTGAACTAAATGTGATGGAGCACAGGTGCCTTTCGACTGCAGCTAGCAGAGATGAATGGATATGGCATTATAGACTAGGTCATCTCAACTTCAGAGACATCAGAGATTTGAAGAGAAGAAATATGGTTTCAGGATTGCCTGAAATTGACATTCCAAACGAAGTATGTGAAGAATGTGTGCAGGCGAAGCAACACAAGAATAGCTTCAGCAAGGATGCAGGAAGCAGATCGAAGGCTAGTCTCGAAATCATATACTCTGATGTATGTGGACCAATTCAGGTGGATTCGATGGGAGGTAACAAATACTTTGTTACATTCATAGATGATTTCAGTCGAAAGCTATGGCATTTTGATTATCTTAAAGGAACTGTGAAGAGGATACTAAGGTATCTTAAAGGAACTTTCGATTATGGCATTTTGTTTCCTGCAGTTGATAAAAGAAAAGAATGCAAGTTAGTGGGATACACTGATTCGAGTTGGTGTAGTGATGTTGAAGATCGAAAGTCAACAGCAGGATATGTGTTTATGCTAGGTGGTGCAACAATTGCTTGGAGTTCGAGAAAAGAACCAGTAGTGGCATTATCATCATGCGAAGCAGAATACATAGCTGCTTCTCTTTGTGCATGTCAAGCAACCTGGATGGTGAACTTGGTCGAAGAGATAACAGGGAAAAATCATGGAGCAATTACCATGAAGATAGACAGCATGTCAGCTATCAATCTGGCGAAGAACCCAATAGCACATGGTCGAAGTAAGCACATCGAAATGAGGTTCCATTATCTTCGAGAGCAGATAGCAGATGGGAAGATGAATTTGGAACACTGCAGAACTGAGAATCAGATTGCAGACATCATGACGAAGGGAGTGCAAGTCGAAGTATTCAGAAAGCTAAGGGCCATGATGAACATAGACAGTTTAGACACAATGAATTAGGTGGTGTGTTAAATTGTAATTCATAGGTGTCAAAAGAAGATTTGATTTGTTTAGATTTAAATAGATTTGAATTTAAATCTAGATTAGATTTGATTTAGTAAAGAGATATTTTGGGCTTCGGTTTAGCTTAGGGAGCAAGCTAACCTAAATCTATAAATAGAGGGAGTAACCCTTATTTTGTAATCAATTCATTCACAGTATTTTGCAGTTGCAAAGTGAATTAATAAAGATTCCACAGTTTGTGGGCAGAATAGAAATTCTGCAGAAATATCTTCATTGTTCTTTTATTTGTTTGTCATAACTAATCATCAGTGGTGGTCGAAATTCATCATAAAGAATTGGTGGATTTCCAACAAGTATTATATATTATTATTATTATTATTATTATTATTATTATTATTAATATTATTATTATTATTAGAGTCAATATTTGGTTGATGAATATCATTAATGAATATTTAAAAGGGAGTGGTAGAAAATAATAATTGTTAAAAAATAGTTTGTTTTTTTTATATATTTATGAAAGATCTTTGATGCAAATCATAACTATTTTTATTTTAAACATATATTAATAAATATAAAACTAATAGAATTAGAAAATGAAAAACAAGAATAATTTCTATATAATATTAAAAAAATATATTAATTAAATTGAAAAAATTCAAAGTTAAATAGTTTAATATTAACATTTAGATTAAAAAACTGAATGAATAAGAATATATATATATATATATATATATATATATATATATATATATATATATATATATATATATATATATATATATATATATATATATATATATATATACTACCTCAAGAGATTCAATTTCTTCGAAAACAAAAATCTAAAACACAGGGTTGTTTAGTTACTGTAAGAAAACAACACAAGTGTGTAGAAGAATTCTCAAAATCAAATATGGCTTTAAGTTCTTCAATCAGTTATCTCTTTTTATATATTTTTATTGCTGTTTCTTCTGGGTTTCCTATTAATTCTTTAGAAACAAAAGACCACCAATCAGTCAATCAAACCTTTCGATCTGCGCAACAAATTTACAAATTGAAGAAGATGATAGCTACCCGTCTTCAGGAAATCAACAAGCCTGCGATTAAGACAATTCAGGTTTAATTAATTATTGTTGGATGCAAGAATTTTTTGATGTAACATATTTAAAATTGTAACTGTTCAGTATAACTAAGTTTATTTGCACAGTTAATTAATGTTGGATGCGAGAACTTTCTGATGTAATATATTTTTAATTGTTATTGTTCGGTATAAGTAAGTTTATTTGTACTGTTAATTAATGTTGGATGTGAGAATTTTCTAATGCAAATTTTTTTTTTATTGTAATTTTTTAGTAATATATTTTTAATTTTAATTTTCTAATGTAGACTTGTTTTTATGTTTGTGTTCACTTTTGCAGAGTCCTGATGGTGATATCATAGATTGTGTTTTGACACATAAACAACCAGCTTTTGATCATCCATTATTGAAAGGAGAAAAACCTATGGTAGTTTTTTGATATAATTTTAAATAATTGAAACTAAGAAAGGTATTATATTTCAACTATTATAGACAGGGAATTTTTGTGTATGTTCTTATTTTTAGGATCCTCCTGAAAATCTAAGAAGGTATAATCAAATAAGAAATACGAGTGATCATTTTCAATTATGGAGTTTATCGGGTGAATCATGTCCTGATGGAACAATTCCAATTAGAAGAATAACCGAAGAAGACATGTTAAGAGCTCACTCTATTAATAGCTTTGGAAGAAAATTCCCGAATGCTTCTATACATGAAGTATGCAATCACACAAATTCAATTATTTCTCTCTCAATATCTTTCTTTACATTATTCATGAAATCTTCATATCTATCTCCAATTCAACTAGTTGTTCTTCTTATTATGTGTGTTATAGATTCTTAGAGTAATAAAATTGGTTCTTGTTATTGTTGAACAGTATGCAGTTATATCAGAGGGAAATGATAAGTTCTATGGAGCTAAGGGTGCCATAAACGTATGGACACCCAATTTAGAAAGTTGGAGGGAATTCAGCGTGGCTCAATTGTGGCTTGTCGCTGGTACACCCGGAAAAGATCTCAACAGTATTGAAGCTGGTTGGCAGGCATGTTAATAATTCTCATCTGTTACACCATTAATTCTTGTCCTTTGGCTGCTAAATAAACATGTTGAAGATACAGAATTTCAAGTAACTTTTATGCAGGTCTATGGGCGACTCTACGGTGACTACCTCTCTAGATTTTTCATTTATTGGACGGTAAGAAAACTAGTTTAAATAAATTATTAATTTATGAGAAAATTACTATTATCAAACTAGAGAAATTCTTGAATTGAAATACATATTCATAGAAACATCTAATACAAGGAAAGACAATTTTAAATTTATTTAAATTGGATTCTTGGTATGGTTGTGATTAAGAAAGGAGAGAAAAATTTTATATTTGTTTTTTAATTAATTAAAATTTTGTGATTAGTTGTGTGTAAAAGTATTTTTATATTTGTGTCTATCTAAGAAATTTCCAATCAAAAGAATAATGGAAAAAACTTGCATGGAAACGAACATAACATGTAGTTTTACAAACAATCAATCATAATTTTTATTAATTAAAAAACAAATAAACATTTTTCTCTCTCCTAATCAATCACAACCATCCCATTAATTCAATTAAAAAACAAATTAAATGTTAAATAAAATTTAAAATTTTTGTTTTCTTATTAGATATTTCTAAGAATATGAATTTAGATTTATTTTATGCAAGTATTTCTCACGAATTTGTGTTAAACTATACTAGTAGATGACAACATTAATAATTGCAGGGTGATGATTATAACAATGGGTGCTACAATTTGATGTGTCCAGGCTTTGTTCAAACTAACAGAAAATATGCATTGGGAGGTGCAATTACTAAGACTTCAACATATAAGGGAAAACAATATTCTATTACCTTGAAGGTCTTGAAGGTAAAATATACATTGCTCCAATCTCAATGAATTCAAATAATGTGTTTTAACTTTCATAGACTTTACATCATGGTCTTAAATTGCGATTTCAATAGGAGTTGAGTTTGTAGTTGTGAGCGTTGCAATTGCAAACGCATTATAAGTAAATTGAGTATCATTGTTTTTATTTTTTAGTTTTTCTGAAAATAAGTGAAATTTTTTTTTGAGAAGTTGTCTGATGCAATTTATAAATTTAAAGATCACGTGATTTCAAATGACTCTTCAATTGTAGTGTATGGTCCGTTGTTATTGCATAGACTAGCGCATCAGCAATATTACGGCGGCAAGTGTGGTTGTAGACTTTAATGTAAAACCATGTTTTACCTCTTTTCAAACCATTTAACTTTAATTATCTTTTGTGTGTGAAGGATAAACAAACTGGAAATTGGTGGCTTGGAGTTGATGAATATGGATCTGAATATTTAATTGGGTACTGGCCGTCCAAGTTGTTCACTCAATTGAAGAATGGTGCTGATGAAGTTAATTTTGGAGGAGAAATTGTGAATTTAAAAACAACAGGGCCTCACACTTCTACCTCAATGGGGAGTGGACACTTTCCTGAGGAGGGTTTTGGAAAAGCTGCATATATTAGAAATATGCAAGTTATAGATACTGATTATAACTTGAAGGCCTTTAAAAATCCTAGTCATAGAGTAACAAATTTGTATTGTTATAGCATGGTGGAACGAGATTCTGATCCGAATTGGGGGCATTACATTTTCTTTGGTGGACCTGGCAGGGGTGAAAAGTGTCCCTAAAGGAACAATGAATATTATAGAATAAAAATAGTAAAAGTTGTTTTACAATTTTAACTCTACCCAAAAAAGTCGATATTAATATATTGGACTTTTTCATCATGTTTCAACCCTAAACCTCACAATTATGTTTTGGAATTTTTAGGGATAAAATATCACTTCATAATTAAATATGAAGGTCAGAGAAAAAAATAATAAGACTGAAAAATATAATATATACTACCTTTATTACTATTATTTTGTCGGTCTTTTATGAGACATTTATGGGTAGTGATCTTATTGTTAAATTGTAATTTTTTTATGTCGAAATTATGTGTGTCGAAGGGGAGTAGTATCGAAACAGGTTGTTTGACAAATTATATTTATTTTAGATTTAGATAAATTTGATTTAGATCTAAAATATAATAGATTTGATTTAGTTCTAAAATAAGTATTTTGAGCTTTTATAGTTTTCCGTTTTGACTTAGAGAGCAAACTAACCTAAATCTATAAATAGAATGAGTAACCCCTATTTTTTTAATCAAGTCAATCAAGTTGTATTCACAAAATTTGCAGTTGCAAGTGAATAACAAAGTTTTCTACAGTTTGTGGGCAGAGAGAAACTCTGTAGAAAAATAATTGTCTTCTTTCTTTCTTCTTTTCTTTCTTATTTTCCATTGTCATTGTGTGGTGATATCAATCTTGTTCATCAAGATTGGTAGAAATTCATCATAGATTTTGATAGATTTCCAACATCTGGTATCAAGAGCTCATGTTGAATGATTCAAGGGAAGAACGATCAAAGAAGAAGAAGAAGAAGAAGAAGATCACGATGACGATGAATTACGCTAATGAAATTTTTTTAGCAAGTCTCCCAATTCTTAAAGGTGCTAACTATGAGAATTGGTGCAAACAGATGAAGGTTATATTTTGTTTTCAAGGTCTTCGGGATCTTGTGTAACATGGATTAGAATCGCTTGATGAAGACGCTTTAGAAGAAGAAGAAGCAGAATACAAAGATTCGAAAAAGAAGAATTATAACGCTCATTTTATAATTCATCAATGTGTTAGCCCAGACATATTAGAAAATGTTAGTGATGTAGAATCTGCAAAAGAAGCTTGGGAAATCTTGAAGAAATCGTTTGGAGGCGTTGAGAAGGTGAAAGAAGTGAGGTTACAAACTCATAAAAGAACGTATGAATTGCTTCAGATGGCAGATAGTGAGAATATATATGATTTCTTCACTAGCGTTACAAAACTAGTGAATCAAATCAAGATTTATGGAGAGACGTTAACAACAAGAGCTGCTGTTTCGAAGATCCTAAGATCTTTGGCTCCGAAGTTTGACCATAGGGTAGTTTCCATAGAAGAGTCGAAGGTGTAACGCCTGTAATTTAATTAATCATTTAATTAAATTATTTTTTTGGAATATTTGTGAAGATGTGTTATGGTTAATTGGATTTATTTATTAAGTGGAGAAATAATATTAGAATTATAATATTATTTGGTGTGAGCTTATTTTGAAGGAATAAAAGTAATAAGGGGGTGTATTAGTTTTGAGCCCAATAAGGAATAAAGAAATAATAAGTTATTTTATTGTTGCTAGAAAGAATAGAAAGAATGAAGCAGTAGAAGAATAAGGATTGAGAGGTGAACGTGCAAGCTGTTGGAAAAGTGGAAAAACGACAGAACGAGAATTCAACTGGAAAATTATAGAGCGACCTTCAATCCAAGGTGTGATACGGTGGGAGAACTGACTTTAGGTTTTGCATTTCATCGCAAATGTTTCGATTTAGCAAGAGTCGCCACCGACTTTTATTTTATCCAAAAGAAAAGGTAAAAAAGCACATGAAAGACCTTTGAGATGTTTTCTTGAGTTCGGGGGATATATTATGAAAAGGGAAGGTGCTAGCACCCTTTTCATCCATGGTTATCCATGGTCTCTTAGTTATTTGCTTAGATCACTTGTTTTGCTTTTGAAATTGTTTGAAATGGTGCTTTTGGTGTGGTTTTGAAAAGTATTTGTAAAAGAGGGCTTTGTCTAGGCAACCTTCGTAATGATCCTCGTTCGTAAGAATGTATACAAAGGTGTTTGTCTTTTTGAAAATGTTTTAAATGTTTTGAAAGTTATTTTGAAATGTGTGTGTGTGCTTGTTTTTGAAAATAAGAAGGATTTTATTTGAAGTGGAGCAAGTAACTTAGAACTATCTACCTACTCAAAAAGTCTTTCTTTGTACATTTTCATTCCTTTGATGTTGTTGACCTACCATTGATTTGGTAGGCAACCATATCTTTGGATGTTAAACGGGACGGGCACAGGTCATCGTATGACCATGATAGCAATGTTGCTAGGTATCTTGGCTTGTTTGAGGGACGGAGATCATTTGTTTCTTAGGCAACCTTTTGATAGCGTCATCGAGGGACTATGATCTTATTTGTTTGTTTTTCTTTGCCAAGATACTTTGCATGTATACCATGACCATTTTGTTTAGGAAACCAAGTGGGTGAAATCCTAGGGGTGCTTGTGTCATTTTACATGCTTTTGATTGTCTTGGATTAGGTCATTCTATTTGTTTGATTTTTGCCTTATCATGCAAACCCTAGTTTTACTAAACATGGTATAATGCGAAAAATAAATCTAAGCTATTAGAACAATTATTATGATAGGGGGGATACAAGTTTTTGAATAGGGATATTTGAACAAAATAAAACCCTAAAATACTATTACAACCCAATTGAATTATTGTACAATAAATAAATAAATACACAATTATTTAAATATGCAAATAAAATGTATTTATGCAAAATGTTTTGTAATTGTTTTATGTATGAGGAAATAAAATTATTTAAGTCCTAAAAATAAGAAAAAATAATATTATTATTTTTGAAAGAAAAATATGTTCTATATTATTTATTTTATCCATTTATGTACAAGAAATAATAAATAATATTATTAACAAATATTAAAAATTAAAATATGTATGAAAATAATATTTATGTGTATGAATAATAAAAATAAAAATGTATGATATTTTTAAAGGTGTTTACTATTTATTTTAAGAAAATAGATTCTATTTATTCTAATAAATAAATATTTTATGCAAAAAATAAAATAAAAATAAAATAAAATGCAAAAAATAAAGAAAATATATTTTATGATTTTTTGATGTTCATAAAAAATATTAAAATTAATAAACATAAAAAATATGAGAAAATATGCAAAATAAACAAAATAAGCAAAGGGGGTGTGGATGTCAAGTCAGGGGTGTGTGGAAAGTCAAAACAACAAGCCCAAGCGCGCCAAGGCCCAAGCACTTCATCCCTGTCCTCCAGCCTCTTCCAAACGTGCACATTTTTGCTTCAAACTTGTATCTTGCTATTCTTTGCACAAAAACAAAAACTTGCAACATAAAAAATGTAGCTTGGAATCTCATGATTCCAATGATATAAGATTCATAATCTAACTCTCAAAGATCAGGGAGAATTTCAGTAGCCCTAATTTCTGACCTAATTTTTTCAGCATGTTCAACATTCAAATTCTCTTAGCCCAGTTAAAATAAATGACAACTATGCATATGTACAGCTTCACCATGCTAGAGACTACATTTTTGCTTCACAAATTGTGGCTTGAGGATGCCTAAATAGAGAGATAAAGTTTTGAAAATTACCTCCTTCAGCTGGATTTGGATATAGCAATGTGGGGACTTTGAGTGAGGCCTGAGGATCGTGTGAGCTTTCTTGAAGTTCCCTCAACCTATTCCAATGCTTAGCTGGCCTTGTAGATGACTGAAACTCCTTGTAGAAGTCAAGCTACAACCTTCCAAAATGAAATGGTGATGGCTGAAACAGAGCTTCCAGAACCAGGACAGGGGCTTGGATAGTTTGGATGTTATATGAATGAAGTGTTTCAAAGGTTGAAAGGCAAAACGCACAAGCCAAAATGAAGTTGGCAAGGATTTTGCAGAAGCTTCCCTGTTTGGGCAGAAATTTGTGTTTTTGAGTTTCAAGGTGTTTCAGATGCTTAGAATTCGTGTTCTAGCTTGAGCTAAGTTTTTGTGAAGTTCTTTTGAATGATGCCAAGCCCTCCCTTTATCAGCTTGTACAAGTTTTTGACTTTTGGCCACTTTTCTTGTTTTTGAAAAAAGGTTGAAGTGACCATGCTAAAAGCCTGTACTTGGCTATCTTGTGAGATGCAAGAGTTGGTAAACCATGCCTGATATTTATGGACAATGCTTGCACAAAAGGAACAAGTCCAAGTCTCAAGGCTGATAAAGTTTGCAAAAGCATGCTTTATGAAAATGGCAATGTGCCCTTTATGCCATTTATGGATTTATTCTTTGTGCAATGCTTCAAAAGCCAAAACAAAGCCATTATCCACTGAATTAGCATTTAATTATGGAGTGTAGAAGGGATTTAGGACCTGTAATGCAAGGTACAAGCATGCTTGATCAGATTTGCAACTTGGTGCATTGTGGAAATGGCTTGAACAAAAGTGATAAAATGCCATTTTCTCTTCTTCGATTCTCCCTAACCATAAATGATCTTGGAGACTTCATGGACATTTTGGAAAGCTTGCAACATTCTCTACAATCCATATTTGAAATGTATTTTGAGATACCTCTTGTAACTAGGTGAAAAATGTCCATGAAGTTGGGTCAAAAACCTGCCTAAACTAGGACAAATTTTCACTAAGTCTTTTAGTTCATGGACCCTTATTCACAAATTCATAACTTGAGATCCAAGCATATTTTGGGAAAACTTTGTGAAGAAAAGTTGTATATTTCATGGAGGAATACAAATTTCATGTTGGGGGTTTTCTTTGAATCCAATTGAATCATGGTGAAAAAGTTGTGGAAAGTTGGGAAAATAATAAGAAATTTTCCACACTTAGAAAAATTCTAAGTTATGAAAAATTTCAAATTAAAACCCTAATTTGCAATTTTAGGTTTCTTGGTCAACAAGTTTCACATTTTGACATATCTTGATGAATTATGACCCTTGGCACTTGATTTTGACTAAAAAAT